TTTCGTCTGGAGACGATAGATGCATGACGTGATACATGACCTCGTCCGCCAAGCATAATCGTATGGTTCCTGCCGCTCGCTGTTGCAATTCTTCCCAATCTTCCTCATCCATCGACGCCGGCTTTATAGGTCGCAAAGCCTTCAAGATCCCTTGCTGCGCCAATAGATCCTTCACCCTCGTTTGCCATAATCCGAAGTTACCCTGACCATCGAATTTCGCGACTTCGAATTTTGCTCCTGACATCTGATACCAATTGTTGACGAAAACGGGTAAAGAAAACGAAAGAACACGAGCATTTTACGAGGTTCGGCAATGTGCTTACGTCCTCAGTGCCTAGGCAGCGCTAGAATTTTATTCAATAATCTTTTAGGTCTAGGTTACATCTCTATTTATAATAGAAAACCCTGGTACATAATTACAAAATCAACCCTGTACCGTACCGCGGGGGCTACGCCCCTGCACCCCAACCCACATAATTTGTAACCCCACAACGAGACTTTCTTTGTAAGGACAGTTGATGTTCGCTTCGCTCACTCCGCTCTATCTCCTGTCCTCTTTACTGGTATATTTATGAGCCATACCTAACATGGATGAATGTGTATGTTGTACAAAAGCTAAGGTTGAAGCACAAGTATGCTATTCGACTCAACCACATAGTCATATCACCACTAGCACGAGGGATCACTGGGTTCTGGACTCTGGGACCACGCATCATGCAACTGCTGACTCGACCAAGGTTCTTAGCCAAAAAGAATTTTTAGGACCAGGTAAATTAGTGGTTGGTAATGGTGGTTTACTTCCAATTCAAGCCATTGGTAAATTAATTTTGTCTTCTTCTTCTCGAGCTTTAGTGTTAAATGACATTCTTCATGTAAAAAATCTTTTCTCGGTCTCGAAGCTTGCTAAGGACAATGAGGTGTATTTCAAGTTCCATGCTTCATGCTACTGTGTTAGTGATGAAGCCACTGTTGAGGTTCTACTGAAGGGACAGGAGAATGATGGCCTATACCTGTTCCAAGTTGATGATAGTCATAATAGAAGTACTTGTCTTGTAGCTAATAAAGGTTTTTACTTCAAGTCATTTGTATAATCTGTGGCATAGGCACCTTGGGCACCCTGCTCATGGCATTATCTAGAAAATATGCAAACTCCTTGATGTAAATGTTGAACAAAATAATGAAAGTTGTATTGCTTGTCACATGGGAAAAAATCATAAACTTCCCTTCTCGGATTCAACCACTTTGTATGAATTTCCCTTTCAACTCGTGTTTATTGATTTATGGGGGCCATCGCCTGTCATCTCGAACGAGTTTAAGTATTATGTCAGCTTCAATGATGCCTGCACTCGACATATGTGGTTGTATCTGCTTAAGGACAAGTCTTAGGCTACTTAGGCTTTTCAACTGTTTCAGCAGCTTGTAGAAACACAGTTTGAATCAAAAGTCTTGGTTGTTTAAAGCGACTGGGTAGTGAATATCATCGATTGTCTTGTGTACTTGCTGAAGCTGGTATATCTCACCGTGTTACCTGCCCACACACGTCAAAGCAGAATGGTGTTGTGGAGAACAAACACCGACATGTGATTGAGATGGCCATAGTACTGCTTGCACAGGCGTCCATGCCAACAAGCTACTGGTCCTATGTTGTGGTTATGGTTGTTCACCTAATAAACATGTTATTCGAAGGTATTAGCTGGAAAGTCTCCCTTCAAGTGTGTGTTCAACAAGAAACCTGACTATGGCTCACTTAAGGTATTTGGATGTATGTGTTTCCCTCACCTAAGACCGTTCAACAATCACAAACTCGATTTTCGGTCTCATCCATGTACATTCTTGGGTACAAGCCCTCAACACAAAGGTTTTTTATGCCTCACACCTGAAAAACGTGTAGTGGTGTCGCGATATGTGAAGTTTGACAAGTGGTGCTTTCCATTTTCTCAGAATAGTTCTGTTGAACAATCGAGAGTTCATTCGCAGCTAAGCAGACCCCTTGATATAGTAATTAATACTAATAAATTGCATGCTGCTACTGCTCGACAACCAGAGCTCGCTAACTCGTCTGTAGACACTCTTGAGCACAGTTCTGCACGGTCTGGTGAAGATAATGAGTTTGCTGCATCACCTGAGAAGACTGATGCCATAGAAGTGCAGCCACCATCTGATGACATAATAGAGGTTGTGGTTGGCAATGCTCATCCTATGTTAACTAGGAGTAAATGTGGAGTGTTTAGACAAAAAATGTACAATACATTGTTTGATGATATTGTTCCAACAACTGTTAAGGAAGCTCTTCAATCTGCTCCATGGTCAGATGCAGTGCACACTGAATATTCAGTGTTGATTCAAAATGACATGTGGAGCCTTGTTCATCTACCTGCTGACAGGAGTGTAGTAGGATGTAAATGGCTCTTCAAGATTAAACAAAATCCAGATGGGTCTGTGCACATGTATAAGGCGTGGTTGGTGGCAAAAGGTTTCACTCAAGTCCCTGGGTTTGACTTTACAAACACATTCAGTTTAGTGGTAAAGTTCTCGAATGTCTATGTTCTTTTAGCCATGGCTGTTGGAAGAGGTTGGGCCTTGAGACAAGTCGATGTCAATAATGCGTTCTTGAATGATGACTTGTGTGAGGTAATATACATGCAACAACCACCTGGGTTTGAGCGTTGTGTTGAATATGGAACTCTACTAGTATGTAAACTACAGAAAGCCATCTATGGTCTTCGACAAGCTCTACGCAACTAGAATGACAAGCTTAAAGCTTGCTTTTTGGAACTAGGATTTTTAGAATCAAAGGCATATGTATTCTCTTTTGTTCGAGTTCAAGATGATTGCAGTATATATGCTTTGGTGTATATCGATGATATCATCATCACAGGAACTTCAACTTCCGTTGTTGATCAGGTTGTTCATCTGCTCAGCTTTCGATTCTCTCTTAAAGATCTTGGTGAACTATCCTACTTTCTGGGGATAGAAGTTAAGAAGGTTGGTACTGGCTTGCTGTTAAGTCAGCGCGCTTATATATGTGAACAGCTGAAGAAAACAAACATGAGTCAAACTACACCTGTCTGTACTCCCATGGTTTCTGCAAAGTTTGCTGATCATGCGAGTGATCTGATGACAAACGCCTGAGATATCGCGTTTGCAGTTAATAAAGCAGCTCAATTCATGCAGTCTCCCCGAATGATTCATTTTGCAGCAGTTAAACAAATCCTACGTTACTTGGCATGCTCGCTTGATCATGGATTGATGTTCTCAAAAGGTAATGCTCGGTTATGTGCCAAAGCATTCTCAGACACTGATTGGGCTGGTGATGCCAGTGATCGCAAGTCCATGTCTGGGTATTGTGTGTTTCTTGGAGATTGTTTGGTTGCGTGGAACTCTAAGAAGCAGAAAACTGTTTCTCGATCAACAATGGAAGCGGAGTATAAAAGTTGATGCAGAGGGATCCGAGACAGATGATGCTGAGCTGTCAGATTGCACCTTGATGGCGCTGAGATACCATGAGTTGGCAGATCAGCGCAAATGCGGGAATTGATTGTGATATGTTCCTCATTGGGGCCGTTTTGAGTGTGCTTCAGTCTTTTGGCCATAACTTTGGCTACGGGTGTCAGAATCGTGCATAAGACCCCAAACCGGAAAACTCTTTTCGACGCGCACACTGTCCACATGAGCTATGCTCCATGTGGCCTTTTTTTCGACCTCAAATTCTACCGTTTTCCCCTCCGAATCACTAGATTTAGATATTTTTTACTATTTATGGTAATATTTCGATTGTCAATTAGGAAGTCATTTTAAATCCGATTTCGGCCGGATTTTTTTAATTTCAATTTATAGTGATTTTCGGGATTTTGCTATTTTTGGTAAAATTTCGATAAACAAGATTTTTGGCTTTAACAGTTCGGCTTGTGGACTGATTTTGGACAGTTTTGATTTTATAATATTTTATTAAACTCTAGATACTTTTTTTCTCTGGTTTTTGGGCGAATTTTCTCTTGTGAATCATCTGTTGGAACTAGCCTACGGGATAATCGTTATTCTGTCTGGCGTCAAAAGTGTTGCTGAGTCGGCAGCAGAGGTGACCTGGCTTACTGCACAGTTGTGTGATCTTGGGTTGTCCCTACAAGAAGCACCTGTTATTTGGTGCGACAACACAAGTGTTGTGGCCTTGAGCGTGAATCTGGTTTGTCATGCTTGGTCCAAACATGTTGGACTCGATGTTCACTTTATTCGTGAGAAGATTGCAGCCGGTGTACTTCGGGTTAGCTACATTCCTGTTGAATTCCAAATAGCAGATGGACTGACCAAGCCATGACCAAGCCTGCGTTTGAGCAATTCCGTGGAAAATTGCGGGTGCTATCTTGTTAAAGAGGAGGAGAAAAAAGAAGTGGAGAGAATGTTGAGATATGTTCATGCACGTGAGTTAGAGTCCTCATGCATGTCATGCATGTAAGCTGAGAAATGATGATGGATGTGGTTAACCATCATATGAAGCTGTTAGGAATCAGTTTTAGGGTTGTTAGGCTGTTAGAGTTTGTTATAAGTGTGCTATAAATGTAAGTGTAAGTGAGAATGATGATGAGCTGATTCAATAAAGAATGCTTTTCTTATTCATTTATGTTAGTTCTTTTGCTCCAATTACTGTATTGCTTAATAGTCAATAAAGAATGCTTTTCTTATTCATTTATGTTAGTTCTTTTGCTCCAATTACTGTATTGCTTAATAGTCACTTCCGACAACTCTTGGAACATCCATGCTCTTAATTCTCTTGTCTCTCAAGAAGCGGTGGCTCATATTATCAATATCCGTCCACCCCTTGCCTCCAACACCGATGTTGCCATCCTTTGGTGCCATGATAACGGAAATGGATTCAGCGTTAGTTCAGCCTACAGCTCGCTCATGGGTGGCATAATCATAATCTTGTTTGGAAAACAATATGGTCGCTCCCTATCCCTCAACGTCTTCGGCTTTTTATATGACTCTCATTGAAGAAACGACTCATGACGAATGGTGAGCGCGTCCGTTGTGGCATGTCCTCGGAGCCTTTGTGTCAATTCTTCAAAGCTGGCGAAGAATCGATTCAGCATGTTTTATGGGATTGTCCGAGTGTACAAAATTTCTGGAGTATCACTTTTCCTACTGCTGTAAGCGCTGATTTTTTAATGCTGACTTCAACCATTGGCTCCTCCAAAATCTTGCCAGCATGTGACCACCACAAGGATTTCAAGTTCCTTGGTCTTCTCTTTTCGCTTCAATCCCCTGGCAGCTTTGGAAGCGTCGAAACAATGAGATTTTCACTGAAGATAGCCAGTCTTTCGAAGTAATCCTTCAGCGAGCCTACGGTTGGGCTCGCTGTTTCGACACTCGCACTCCAAGGGTTTCACCAGCTCCATCTTCTTCGTGAGATGTTACAATTTGGCTTAGAGCGCCTGATGACTGGTTTTGCTTGAATTGTGATGGTAGCGTCAACCTCGTGTCTAATCTGGGATCTGCCGAGGGAGTTATTAGAGACTCTTCGGGCCGCTGGATTGATGGTTTTAGTAAAAACATTGGCTACTCTACGAACCTCCAAGCTGAGCTTTGGGGCTTATATGAAGGTCTCCGACTTGCCTGGAGTCATGATATTGATCGCTTGGAAATTCAGACCGACAACGCCAAAGCTGCTAAAATAATCGACATGGTTGATGCTGCCAATAGCCCCTTTCCGATGGTGAGAGCCGTTGCTTCCTTTCGTGCTCGACCGTGGTAGACTCGCGTCCGTTGGATTCCTCGTTTTACTAATTCAATTGCGGACAGCCTTGCTAAGATGGCCCCCCTGGTCTCGCCGATTATGTGTTCTATGCTACTGCCCAGCTGAGATCGTGAAGCAAGTGGAGCTTGAAGCGCACTCTCATTTGTTAGCATAGTTTACTAAGTTTCCTTTCGATTAAACAAATACATTACAAATGATTTAAATTGCGGTTGCGACGTGTTTTCGACTTGTGTTGCATTTATCGTGATTGTAGATATAACATATGTTATTGTGATCATTGCGGGTATCGCGGTGGTGAACATTTTTCAAATGAGTTGTTTAAAAAAAACTGATTTTTTAAAATAAATAAAATAGTGAAATAACAGTCCGCTATTACCACGATTACCCATTATCCGTTAAATTGTGACCGCGGTCAGCTGCTATTGGTGTGATTCAACTGCATACCGTTATTTTTCGCGATAGTGGTCTCGGATGTCTTCACGACTGCGACACCGCTATCCGATCGCTATTTGAATTTCTGATCCCTATAGATGATGGGTTTTTTTTTGACAAATAACTTTTGGAAGAGCTTTTAGCTTATTTGACCATAAATAGCTAATTGGTAGTCAAATCCTCTATTTTTAGTGTTTGATAAATATCTTTTTGAAAGAGTTTATTGTGCAAAATAAGCTGGAAATGAAAACGTTAGAAAATTCAATGGTTTGAAAGAGCTGATTATAAAATAAGATGTTAAATGACATATTTGATCTTATTTTTTTCCATAATTACTTCCTTACTGTAAAACATAATATAATGAAATATTCTTCATCCTAATATATTTAAGATGAAAATTTATTTTATTATTCTATTTTTTTGTTGTAGATTTTCAAATAGTTAAGAAAATATAACAAAACATGAAAATAGAATAATGTAGTGTTGATATTCTATACAAAGTTAATAATATATATCAATCTCACAAGATTAATATTTGTAAACATTAAATTTAAAAAATATATTTAAAATTTTCAAAAATATTCACTAATTTTCTTAAGGGATTTTTAATTCCTTGTGAAAAGTATTTTATACGAATAATTTCATCCCAATAAAGACTAAAGTATTATAAAATATATATATTTAACAATCAGATGTATTATACACTTATTTGTCATTTTACACATATCAACTATCAGCTAAATTTTACCAAATACTTTTATATAAACAGATAATCAAATTAATTTCTCAAATCAGTTAATCAAATCAATAAATCAACTCAACTATTAGAATCACCTATCAACTATCAACTTTAGTTATTTGCCAAACACCCTGATATATTCTAATTATAAAATCTTTGGAGATAACAATTATCGTTTTTACAACCAAAATTTCTTAATTTGTATTTGTATTATTTTATTACGGTTAAATAATTTATTATGAATTTTATTATAGTAATAATAATATTTTTTTATAAAAAAAACATTGATCATAAAGTGGATAAATCCATTCAAACGGCCCAGAATATCCACGGTGTCCATAAAATATTCATCCCAGCTGTTCACCAACATTCAGTTCTCCTATTGGTTAGTCCGCTATAAAGAAAGAAGCCCTCAAAGCCTCTATTATCAAAAATACCCTCAAAAGTGCACGTTCTAAATATGCCTCCTCCTCTCAACCGAAATATGTCCATTTCCGTAAATAAATCCCCACCATCTACGATCCAGCGCGACCGGTTCCACCCTTACGACCCGTAAATCACTGACGTGTCGGAACATTACTGGATAAACCCTGGTTTTTAAAATTTAGGATGTTTAGATATTTAGCAGATCAAAAATATCTGGCTAACTCGTCCACGTTGGCAGACCGATCTGGAATCTGGCGTTGCACTTTTTTCTTGCTTCTCTTTTACGGTTTTACCCTTTATTTTCCCTCAGAAAAAAATGTTTTTTTCTTTGGTCCCAAACAGCCGCCCGATTCTCACGCAAATATCTGAAAATCTCTTCAGATTTTACACTTTTCTTTCTGATTCAAGCAACGAAATTTGAAGAATCGCTCGAAAAATACTGATAAGATCCCTGAGTTGGAGGCAAAAACATGGGAGAAGAAGTGAAGATGAGTGAATTTGAAGTTAACGGCGGAGACGACGAGGCCACCGCAACAGCCAACACTGCCTTCGTTGACGATGAAGATGATGTTGACCAAAGAGTTCTCGAATGGGAGATTGGATTACCCGACTGCGATGATTTAACTCCGTTATCTCAATCCTTAATCCCACCGGAACTCGTCTCCGCTTTCAGTATCTCGCCAGAGCCTCGTCGGACAGCTCTCGATGTCAACCGTGCCTCTCACGATACACTCTCCTCACTCCGATCAAGCGGAACCCACCTCTTCACTAACAATAGCAATAAAACCAGCAATAATAACAATCTACATTCTTTTAATGACCCGATGGTAGTGGAACCGGAAGGTGACGGATCGGGTTCCGGTTCTGGATCTGAACCAAAGAAGATGAGGAAGACGGATTCTGGTATTGCAGAGGAAGCGGATTCAGCGGTTAGGACAACGGAGAATTCGGAGGATCCATCAGCGAGGGCATTGAAACGACCACGTTTAGTGTGGACGCCGCAGCTGCATAAGAGATTTGTTGATGTGGTGGCCCATTTAGGCATAAAAAACGCGGTTCCCAAAACAATCATGCAGCTAATGAACGTAGAAGGCTTGACCCGCGAGAACGTTGCCAGTCATTTACAGAAATACCGGATTTACTTGAAAAGGATGCAAGGGTTAAGCAACGAAGGACCATCGGCTTCCGATCAGCTGTTTGCGTCAACGCCGGTGCCCCAGAGTCTTCGTGAGAGTGGAAGCGGCGGCGGTGGAGGAGGAGGAGGAGGAGGAAGTGGTCTTGTTGGTGGTAGTGCGAATGGCAATGGGCATGTTGGGATGCCTATACCGATGCCTTATGGGGCACCTTTGGTGCCTGTAGCAATGCCGATGTACGGACATATGGGTATGCATCAAGGAGGGTACCATCATCAGCAGAATGGGTATGAGGCGAATTCGTACGGGATGCAACCGAGAGACTGGCCTCGTGGGAATAAATATGGATCACTGATGTCGTATCACAATTATATGGCTCCCAATGATAAGCTAAATTAGCTGGATTTTTGTACAAAGGTTAGTTCCTTTCTTTCTTTTTTCAGTATTAGAATATGATTTTTCAGCTTTATTGTCTGGTTGAATATTAGTAACTAACTTATAATTGCATATATCGTGCTAATTTGTTTAGAAAATTTGGTTCTAAGTAAGCTTTGAGGTATAGTGTGATGTACAATATTGTCGGCTTTGGAACTTGCATAGGTGTTGATTGAAATGGAAACTTGAAAAGCTATAATTGAGCATAGCCTTAGATTATTTTGCTATTACCAAGAAAGGATGCGACAGTGTGGTTTAAACAGGATCAATCGGCATTAATCTCTTATTTTGCTCATCTAGGAAAAAAAAAAGAATCAGTTTTGCTCTTATGTTACTATATTATGTTACTTGATTAGGATTAATGCCTACTCTGCTTAAAGAATTACTGTATGATTGTCTAGACTTGTTGTGTCTCTTTAGTTGGTAAGCATACAAAATTATGGTGTTATGGTAAGAAATTTCGATTCAATGTACAATTTGATTTGGTGTAACTATATACATGAAATTTTGATTTATTTGTATGTATTTTTAAAAGTCTAATAGATTCAGATACTTCATTTTTAGTAAATCTAATTGTTTGTGCATGCAATAAGTAAAGGTAAGATTGTGCCACATCTATAACTAAATAATTATGCATTTTACATCACTGAACTTGACATCATGTGCATGTATTTCACAATCCTTTAATTTCATCAATTTATATCTCTGAACTTTTATTATTAATAACTAAGGTGCTAATTCCATTAAATAATTTTAATTAAAAACTTGTCTTAGAATGCATACATGGTTTATATTTGAAGTACAATCAACATTAGGATTTGGTGTAGAGTTATGTATGCTTTTTGAACCAACTGTTCTTATGAGAATTACTCGACGGAGTTAGTATCAGTGACCTAATCTATTAATAATGGAAGTTTCCTAATGTAATTTAGTGGAATTAAAGGTCTGTGATCTACATTACAAGTTTATGCATTTTAATTTACCTAAAATATAAACTACCCTTATAACTGTATTAGTTCTTTGTAAAAGTTAATCAAACCCAAAATCGCATGTATACAATTACATCAATCAAGGTTCATATAATGCATTGTGTATTAAACCGAAGTTCATGAAGACTTTTTACATTTATCCATTTTCGGTAATTTTAGTTTACCCTCTTGCTTTATGTGTGTATTGGACAGGACAGTCAACACTATCTTTGAGCTATTGCTTCATCTATCTGTATACAGCTCTTGCTTATGCATTTCTCATCTATTTTTATCTGTATTAGTTTATACCGTTATTTGTTCTTCTGAATATAATGCTGTCAGCTTCATTTACCATTACCATTGCTTCCATTTTCCTTAGCCTTTCACCCATTCTTTGCTCTCACGTTATTAATTTATTGGCACTGGTTCGTAATCGTTTGTGAAGTGGTTTTGCTCCTGGTTGGTTGCTCTTTGATTACTGGTGATGAAACCAAGGTTTTTCCTGTTCCTTAAAACGACTGTGTTAGAAAGCATCGATTTTATGTTTCATATGTTCACTGATCATTGGACTTTGCATCCCAAATTATTCTTTTGTAGATTAATTCTTGTATGAACTTGGTGTTCACCTAGACACACTGAAATGGCTGGGTTCTTATGGTTTTTGACAGACAGAGAAAGACATGTTGGAGTATATCTAGGTGGAGAATTGCAAGTATGAATGAGATTTGACAAAGAGAGAACCAAACCTCTCACTCTCAGGGTATTATTGCTTTCTTGAGTTAATTAGGCACTAGGGAGAGTCCAGGAAACTTGTTATTCACTTGATAATTATCATTAACCAGTGTATTATTGAATATATTAACA